GTTCAGTGGCTTTGTAAAGCGCCATGACGAGAATATTACTGTTTTGACTAGCGAAGTAGATGAGATAAAGATTGATTTGGCGACAGATAAACTAGTTGAGATTGAAGAGAAAATCGCGAACTGTAAATGAAGGCAGAACAGCACATTTCAGCACAACAGAATCAGAGTCTGAACGTCGGGGTTCACAAGAAGGGAAATGTTTGTTCTCTGTCTCTGTCTCTGCTCGTTCTCGTGTATCGTCGAGAAAGAAATCTAACTATACGCATCTGAGTAAAGAACAAGAACATCGATCAAGAGAGAGGTTAGACGAAGTTAAAGAGCGCCACCACTATGAAGAAAAACTACAAGATTTAAAGCTTAAAACATTGAAGCGTGAAATGCAAATTCGTCGGGAATTGGAAATTCGTCAAGCAGAACGTGATTTAGAATCGTGCAGTATTGCGAAATCAAGTTCATCAAGCTCAAAGAATTCATCAAATCCTCAGTCTGTTGCAGATCAGTCACTGAAAGAAAAGCAGCTCCCCCGACAAGTTAACGTCCAGCTTCCAGTTTACTCGAGTGATTGTAACAAGATTAACAAGAAGTTTACGACCGTGAGCACTTCAAAGGAAATTTCGACGTGGAGCACACCGTTAGTCCTTGGGGAAAAGACAATACCACTGGGTACATTTGATGGAAAAAAAGAAAGTTGGCTTTGATTCTTTCAGACGTTCAAGGCCGTGGTTGATAAACAACCCTATGAACCTGAACCTATTGTAAAGTTCGCAATTCTGGAAAAATATTTAACGGGCCCTGCGAAGGACTTCATTAGAGGATTTCCGTTTACTGAGAACTCTTATCCATTGGCATTGAAGGCCTTGCAAGATCGGTTCGGTGATGAAGAAGACCAAGCAAGTTTTTACCTTGGAGCCGTGGAAAACTTGCCGAAGATAAAGATTTCAGATGTACCGGGTCTTCGAAAGTTCTACGACGATTTGAACACTAATATACAAGTGTTAGAAAATATGGGACCTGATGTGGCTATGCATCTGAATGACCCAAGAAGAATGAAATTGCTATCAACCAAGTTACCACGTAATCTTGCGGTTGCCTGGGCAACTTACCAAGACGACAAAGGCATCGGATCGGATATGCGCGCCTTTGCTGAGTGGTTACGAAAGAAAGTTCAAATCCTAGAAAGAGTCGAAGTTCAACCACACATCGAGGCTGGAGATAAACGAGTTCCAGGAAAGCAAGTCTTCAAACCCCACGTGCATGTTACAACGCGAGATGAAGTCACCCAAACTGAAAGAACAGAAACGAAATTACCGATTGAAAGAGGAACGTGTTGGGTTTGTCGTGATGGTAACCGCTGGCCGGGTCAGTGTTTGGTCTTGAAGAAAATGACGGTATATGAAAGAAAACAGTTAGTGAAACAGAATAGAGCCTGTTTCAAATGCTTGCTTCGAGGGAATCTCGTGGCGAAATGTAGAAGAAAGGTGGGATGCCTTATAGAAAACTGTAAGGGAACACGTCACACCTTACTGCACCAAGAAAACCCTAAAGATCCTGCAATATCTACTCACAAGGTCGAGAGGAAAAGCAGCGAGACGTCAGGTGGTGAACAACTTGCAAGAAATGAAGAGACACCAACGAAGGAAACCTTGTCGGTTACCTCGAACGCTAATCGGAGTTGTCCAAAAAGGAAAATTGTGGCCCTTCCTGTAAAGAAGATCGATATCTTAAATGGTTATGGTCAACGAGTTACGCTAAATTGCTTGGATGACAGCGGGAGCCAGGTGAGATTGATAACTCATCGTCTGGTCGAAAGCCTTGGGTTGACAACGAGAAGAAGCAATCGATTGACACTCTCTTGTGTGGGGGATCAAAACATCAAACTCAATTCTGAAGTTTCATTTCTCATACAAGTCAAAGACAATGAACTGTCTATCCCAATTACCGCGTATGCTATTCCAAATATTAGCAATTATTCACCCCCCTTTGATATTGAAGAAATCAAGCAAAAATTTCCTTATCTGCAAGACGTCGACGTGATTGTGGACACAGAAAACGTTGATTTGTTAGTTGGTCAAGATTATCCTATCCTTCGGAGGCAGTTGAAAACTCGTTATGGAAAACCTGACGAACCTTACGCCGTACGAACTGTGTTAGGTTGGGGCATATGTGTACCTGTTGACGAAAGAGTCGGTGAAGATCCATCAACACATCTCATTTCATCCTGTTCACCGCCGACGACTTCAGTGGGTGATTTCAATCTCAAACGGTTCTGGGAGATAGAACAAATGCCAGTAAAAGAGCCATCCTTATACACTAATAAACAGCAAAAGATTCTTGAAGAAACGGAAGATATAGTGTGGACTAAACGAGGAGTCCTAAGAAGGTTGGCGCAACTATTTGACCCCATGGGATTGTTAGCAGCCTTTTTAGTTCGTGGTAAGATCTTGATGCAGGAGTTACGGAGAAGAGGGAGAGATTGGGACGATCCACTTGAACTTGATGTTAAGGGATCCTGGTTGGTTTAATCAATTTGTTGGTTTATCCAAGCTAAGATTACAATTCCACGCCACGTTTGGGCAGAACTAGAAGAAGTTGATATGGAACTTCACTTGTTCGCTGATGCATCGCAGAGAGACATGGCAGCCGTTGCATATGTTAAATGTCAGCGAAATAATGAAGTGAAAGTGTCTCTGTTGATGAGCAAGACGCAAGTGGCCCCTTTAAAGAAAATGTCTATTCCACGGTTGGAACTACAAGTTTGTCTGATGGCAGTACGTTTGGCAGAATTTATCGTGAAGCAAATGGAATTTAAGACTGTCAAAGTAGTTTTCTGGTCAGACAGCACTGTGGCTTTATTATGGATAAAGATGGAAAGCTGTGTCCTGAAGGAGTTCGTGGCCAATCGAGTGGCGACCATTCAAGAGAAAACTGAAGGATGCCAATGGCATCACGTATCTGGCCAAGATAATCCAGCGGACTTAGCATCGAGAGGCGTTGACTTACGAGAGCTTTTGAAACCAGATGATATATGGTTTTCTGGTCCTAGTTTCCTTTAGCCTGCGAACAGGCCCTGGGTTGCGGGAGGCGCGAAGAATAGAGGGCCTGCACGGATGATAGGTTTTCTTGGTAGTGGCGTTCGTATAGAAACGCAGGCTTCTGATTGGCTTACACTCGTTGACAAAATTACTAAAAATAGCAAATGTCAACAACAGCATTTCGAAGAATTTGAACTTTATTCATTTTAATATTATATATTATAGGACTATCGAACAAATAAAACTAGAAGTGGAGACCAAAAGCAATAGCAAAGCATCACAGCAAAAAAGTCTATCATAAATGACTTGAATCTATCGCTTAAATCCAATATACGAAACTATATTAAACAGTATTCTGAACTTCGTCTTCGGATTGACATCAGACTATAGTATAGTACATTTTGAGGTCGTCGTGGCTTCACGGATTATTCTCATTAGTGAGCAAGTCAGAAAGCGAAGGCATACAAAAGATACCCAAATATGTACGAATAATTATATTGTTGATCCTCGCTGGCATGTCATTTAGATAAATATATATCGTAGTACGTTGTACTATTTGCTGTATATTAACTGCTGACAATTTCGTCGTCGATACGGCTTCCACTATTGGCACACTCGTGATTTCGAAGAAATTAATAAATACATGCTCATTTATCATTTATTTAGACCACAGTTAGTAAAATTTTAAACGTATTCGGTATTCCAAATCCCAATCTATCTGACCGTATTTTAGTAATAGCTTCAAAATATTCAGAACATTGTTCTTTCAGTCGCACATAGTACAAGTATTACTGTACATTCAAAGCCAATGGTAGTATTTTATTCGGCTTTATATTTGTATGTGTATTGATATCTATTTAATATTTGAATTCTATGCCTTTCCGAGTAATATATTGTGCGGCTAATGTTTTGTATTATTGTTCATGTTGCACAATGTACACGCCTTGCGTCAATTTGACAGTTGACAGTTTATTTATCACAGTCGACGCTGATTGGTTCGCGTTTAGCAGATGCGAAAAGGGGTGGAATGAATAAAACGCATGGTTCCGTGCAGGCTCACCTTTCTCCCAGTGAGCCTGTTCGCAGGCTAAGTTTCCTTCGTTCAGATGAATACACTGAAAGTGCGTTGGAACCAGAAGATAAGCTGATTGAGGCTGAGAAGAAGTAAGTCACACGTCATTGTCATGTCCAGAGTTCCGTAGGAACTTGAAAGTTGAAGATTTCTCAACATTTCACAAGTTGAGAAAAAGAGTTGCCTTTTTTCGACGTCCTTTCCGCAATTGGCGATTGAAGAAATCAAAACGTCTCACGAAGCCTACGACCAGAAGTGCAATGAAAAAGAAAGACATCCAGCATCCTATAAAACCATTAAGCGCGGACGAACTTCGAGAAGCAGAAATTTGGCTTCTGAGACGAGACCAAAGCATATGTTTCGCGAAGGAAATTACTGTCCTTGAAAAACAGCAAACTGGCTTGGGAAAAACGAAGACAAGGAAGATGTTGGTCCCAAAATCGTCTCCGTTATATTCTCTTTCTCCGTTCATGGACGACGAAGGTCTGGTACGTTTGGGTGGACGTCTTGAGAGATCACCTCTATCATATGATTGTCGACATCCGATTATTTTGGGAAAAGGATCACATCTAGCTGCTCTTCTAATCAGAAGGTCTCACGAAGAGGTGAAGCATTTTGGAGTAAACACAGTACTCTGTAACCTGAGGCAGCGGTATTGGCCAATAAGAGGAAGGGAACAAGTGAAGAAGATCTTATCGAGCTGTGTCTTATGCAAGAAATGGCGTGGTAATCCTGGTGTTCAATTCATGGCTGATCTTCCTGCATCGAGAGTTGACTTCCCAAACCCACCATTTACCTTGACGGGCGTTGATTATTTTGGGCCTATAACCACCAAAGCTGGCTTTAGAGGAGGTCGACGAGAAAAGAGATACGGAGTCGTGTTTACATGTCTACAAACACGCGCTGTTCACCTTGAAGTTGCCCAATCCCTATCAACTGATGATTTCTTGAAGGTTTTTTCTCGATTTGTCGCCAGAAGATCGAAACCGAAAAGGATGTTTTCAGACCAGGGGACCAATTTCGTTGGAGCAGAGAGAGAAATGCGCCAGTTAGTAAAAGAATTATGCAATGATGTCGTTTTAAAGACGAAGCTACAACAAGAAGCCTTGGATTGGAATTTCAATCCTCCTTTTGCTCCTCACATGGGAGGAGCCCGGGAAGCCATGGTAAAACTGGCAAAACGTGCGATAACAGCCACAACAAACGCAGCTCAACTTACAGATGATGAACTTTCCACCGTTGCAGCTGAATGCGAAGCCATGTTGAATAATCGTCCGTTGACGTATGTAGGAAGTGATCCAGATGACGTAGAGCCTCTGACCCCCGCGCATTTCTTAACTGCAGGACAGTTAATGCCATTGCTGCCGAGCGAAATCCAAGTTGATGAAGTCTCACCAAAACGGCGTTGGCTATTTCTACAGTCCATCATGTCAAAGATTTGGAAAAGGTGGCAGAAAGAATATCTGCCTTGCCTTCAACGACGGCCAAAATGGAATCAAACAGTACGAAATTTGGAACCTGGTGACTTAGTGTTAATATTGGACCCAAATCAGCCAAGAGGACGGTGGCTAAGGGGCAAAATTGAAGAAACATTTCCAGACGACCGAAACGTTGTGCGATCAGCCAAAGTCTTAACTCAGAATGGAGTATTACACAGACCTGTGACTAAACTTATACTCTTATTAAGAGAACATTAATTTCTATAGAACATTAACTTATTTTGTAGTCGTCCAGACTGCTCCGCCTCTGGACTGGGCGGGGAGCATGTTTATACGATTGAATGATTTTGTATATATGTAAATAGTGTGCTAATGTGTGGGTGTTATGCAACTATAAATACGGACTTTGCTAAGCGAACTTTAGTTAGTTATTTATGAAAATCGTGAAGAACTTGAAGTCAAACTTGAAGTAATATTATATGAAATAAAGTATATGAAGTTAAATATATAAAGTCAAAACATATATACATATATACATATATATATATACATATATATATATATATATATATATATATATATATATATATATATATATATATATATATATATATATATATATATATATATATATATATAATAAAGTAAAGTATAAACAAAAATAAAGATAGTTTTTAATTTAACTTTGTATAATATTTGTGCTCTTCAACATTCACTTCAGTTCAGAAGCAAACGACTTGGCGTTAACACTGGCAAGAAGGCATACAGGACATGAAGACATAGTCGTTTTAGACAAGTATGTGAATGACAGTTCAACGTCTCACTAGCAGAGATTAATCGGATTAATCAGATAAATAATCGGCAAAGAGAATTGATCGACCGTTTTGAAATAATCAGTAATCGCGCGGAAAAATAATCGGACATTTATCGTTCGGACGTTAAATTTATAATCCCGATGTTATCTTTACTAGTAAAATGCTTTTGAGTTATGGCACGAAATTTTGCACATTTTTTTATAATTGCATTGTAAAGGATATGCAAATAGCTTGTTTCCTTCTGTATACAAATTCTCCTTTAATACTATGAAGTAAAATTGGATAATGCCTTTCTGAAAAAATTTTTGCGACTCTTATAAAGATGATTGATTGAAATTTGTCGACATATAATGTTTGTATAAAGTCTGGTTTCCATATGGTCGTAACGGTCGTAAAGATTGAGTCACGATCTTTCTCATCAGCCAGGGTGGGTTGACTACAAAATTTTCAAGGGTGGGTTGTAGCGAAGTAGTTGTAGTTCGCTACTGTAGCGAACTACAATTTTCAAGTAGCCAGTAGTTTTTGACTACTTTTTTAAAACAGTAGTTGTAGTTATATAGCGAACTACATTTTGCCTAAAAGTAGCCAAGTAATTGACTACTTTTCAAACAGCGAATCGCTATTCGCTACTTTTTAAAATTGTTAGCAACTTGATAGAATAGCATGATATTGAGACACGGTTTGTTTAAAATCAATACTCAATTGCACTCCTGGACACTGTAGTGCTTACAAAAATGTTGCTTTGTGCTTACTGTTGCGACTCGTAAGTCGATTTGTTATAGATTACATTACTGCCTGAGTTAGTGGATGCTCCAAATATAGTAAAACTAAAAAATATAGTGTAGCGAAATAGCGAAATTGTTCGCTACAATTTTTAAGCAGTAGCTGTAGTCAGTAGCGAACTACCTTTGTTCAAAAGTAGCAGTAGTTGTAGCTGACTACATATTTTTGAAGTAGCTGTAGTTATAGCGAACTACAAAAATTTTGTAGTCAACCCACCCTTGAAAATTTTTGTAGTTCGCTATAACTACAGCTACTTCAAAAATATGTAGTCAGCTACAACTACTGCTACTTTTGAACAAAGGTAGTTCGCTACTGACTACAGCTACTGCTTAAAAAATGTAGCGAACTATTTCGCTATTTCGCTACGCTATATTAGTTTAGTTTTACTGTATTTGGAGCATCTACTAACTCAGGAATGTAACCTATAACAAATCGACTTACGAGTAGCAACAGTAAACACAAAGCAACATTTTTGTAAGCACTACAGTGTTCAGGAGTGCAAATTGACTATTGAGTATTGATTTTAAGCAAACCGTGTCTCAATATCATTCTATTCTGTGAAGTTGCTAACAATTTTAAAAAGTAGCGAATAGCGATTCGCTGTTTGAAAAGTAGTCAACTACTTGGTTACTTTTAGGCAAAATGTAGTTCGCTATAACTACAGCTACTGTTTTAGAAAAGTAGTCAAAAACTACTGGCTACTTGAAAATTGCTCGCTACAGTAGCGAACTACAACTACTTCACTACTACCGACCCTTGCTCATCAGCCGAAATACAACATTTTATAACTGAAAATACGCGGAGTGATTAGAACTGCACACGTAAAAATTTCACAACTTGTCAACAAGATGTGTTCGCAACAGGCTTGCAGCAAGCTTGTCAACAAGTTGTAACAATGCTGTTATTTTATCAAGTTGCTACAAGGTTGTCACTCACAACTTGGTGACAAAATTGTTGAATTGCAGGAAGATAACAAATTGTTGGAATAACTTGTAACAAGTCTGTTGAGTTCAACAACCTTGTAGCAAGTTGTCAACAAGCCGTTGACAACAAGCTGGGAACAAGCAGTGCGAACACATCCTGTTGACAAGTTGTTGGAACAGCATTGCTACAAGTCTGCTGCAGGTTTGTTACAACTTGTGCGTTTTTACGTGTCTACTTGTAAAAATCTCACAGCTTGTCAACAAGATGTGTTCGCACTGCTTGTTCCCAGTTGTTGACAAGTCTGGAACAAGTTGTTATCATCTTGGAACAAGGTTGACGAGGCCAACAGACTCGCAACAAGTTGTTCCAACAAGTCTGATATCGTCTCCACATAACAAGTTGTTAACAAGTTGATGACAACAAGCTCGTAGCAACTTGCCACGAACAGCCTGTATTAGGGCCTTGTCATATGGGCAAAAGTTATCCCGGTTAACGAGAAAACTTTTCGACTAGCCAAATACTTTTGTTCTGTTCATATGGAGAAACTTTATCCCGCTTACCGGGTAAAGTTTTCGGCTGTGACGTGGCACTGAACATCAGTTGAATTGAAAAGTTGCTGACACGACAGAAAGTTATCCCGCTAAGCGGGAAAGTTGTGTTCATATGGGAAAAACATTATCCCGGTCACCGAGATCTCGCCTGTCAACAAGCGAGATCTCGGTACACTGGAAAACTTTTCGTCTCATATGAACGCAGTGTAACTTTTCATATTATTTTCATACCAAAGCGAGATCTCGCTTGTAAACTTGTCGAAAAGTTTTCTCGCTAACCGGGATAACTTTTGCCCATATGAACAGGCCCTAAGTCTTGTTGGAACAACTTGTAGGAAGTTACCGTCATCAACCTTGTAACAAGATGATAAAAACTTGTTCCAGACTTGTCGCAACAACTGGGAACAAGCAGTGCGAACACATCCTGATATCGGCTTCACAACAACCTTGTTACAACTTGTTTGCAGATCTACAATAACTTGCGCGTTTTTACGTGTTTAGTAAACGCGTAAAAATCTCACATCTTGTAGCAAGTCTGTCAACAAGTTGTGTTCGCACTGCTTGTCCCAAGTTGTCAACAAGTATGGAACAACTTGTTAACAGACAGTTGTAACAACCTTGTTGATATTATCAGACTTTGTTGCAAGGTTGTTCCAACAAGTCCGATACAGTCATGATATAACAATATTGTTACAACCTTGTATCGTCAACCTTGTAACATTCTTGTTATATCATGACTGTATCAGACTTGTTAGAACAACCTTGTAATAAGTCTGATGATGCCATCAAGCTTGTTACAAGTTGTTAACAGCTTGTTCCAAACTTGTTACAACAACTTGGAACAAGCAGTGCGAACACAACTTGTCGACAGCTTGTGAACATATTTGTAACAACTTGTTTGCAGACCTGTAACAACTCGTGCGTTTTTATGTGTGTACAAGGCTGTCGAAGAAATATCTTGTTGACAAGTTGTTGGAACAGCATTGTCACAACTTGTTAACAAGCTTGCTACAAGCCTGTTGAGAAAATATCTTGTTGACAAGTTGTTGAAACAGCATTGTCACAACTTGTTAACAAGCTTGCTACAAGCCCGTTGAGAAAATATCTTGTTGACAAGTTGTTGGAACAGCATTGTCACAACTTGTTAACAAGCTTGCTACAAGCCTGTTGAGGAGATATCCTGTTGACAAGTTGTTGGAACAGCATTGTCACAACTTATTAACAAGCTTGCTACAAGCCTGTTGAGGAGATATCCTGTTGACAAGTTGTTGGAACAGCATTGTCACAACTTGTTAACAAGCTTGCTACAAGCCTGTTGAGGAGATACCCTGTTGACAAGTTCTTGGAACAGCATTGTCACAACTTGTTAACAAGCTTGCTACAAGCCTGTTGAGGAGTTATCCTGTTGACAAGTTGTTAGAACAGCATTGTCACAACTTGTTAACAAGCTTGCTATAAGCCTGTTGAAGAGATATCCGGTTGACAAGTTGTTGGAACAGCATTGTCACAACTTGTTAACAAGCTTGCTACAAGCCTGTTGAGAACATATCTTTGTTGAAAGGCTTTTGGAACAGCATTGTCACAACTTGTTAACAAGCTTGCTACAAGCCTGTTGAAGAGATATCCGGTTGACAAGTTGTTGGAACAGCATTGTCACAACTTGTTAACAAGCTTGCTACAAGGCTGTTGAGAACATATCTTTGTTGACAAGTTGTTGGAACAGCATTGTCACAACTTATTAACAAGCTTGCTGCAAGCCTGTTGAGGAGATATCCTGTTGACAAGTTGTTGGAACAGCATTGTCACAACTTGTTAACAAGCTTGCTACAAGCCTGTTGAGGAGTTATCCTGTTGACAAGTTGTTGGAACAGCATTGTCACAACTTGTTAACAAGCTTGCTACAAGCCTGGTGAGGAGATATCCTGTTGACAAGTTGTCGGAACAGCATTGTCACAACTTGTTAACAAGCTTGCTACAAGCCTGTTGAAGAGATATCCAGTTGACAAGTTGTTGGAACAGCATTGTCACAACTTGTTAACAAGCTTGCTACAAGGCTGTTGAGAACATATCTTTGTTGACAAGTTGTTGGAACAGCATTGTCACAACTTATTAACAAGCTTGCTACAAGCCTGTTGAGGAGATATCCTGTTGACAAGTTGTTGGAACAGCATTGTCACATTTTATTAACAAGCTTGCTACAAGCCTGTTGAAGAGATATCCTGTTGACAAGTTGTTGGAACAACATTGTCACAACTTGTTAACAAGCTTGCTACAAGCCTGTTGAAGAGATATCCGGTTGACAAGTTGTTGGAACAGCATTGTCGCAACTTGTTAACAAGCTTGCTACAAGCCTGTTGAGGAGTTATCCTGTTGACAAGTTGTTGGAACAGCATTGTCACAACTTGTTAACAAGCTTGCTACAAGGCTGTTGAGAACATATCTTTGTTGACAAGTTGTTGGAACAGCATTGTCACAACTTATTAACAAGCTTGCTACAAGCCTGTTGAAGAGATATCCGGTTGACAAGTTGTTGGAACAGCATTGTCACAACTTGTTAACAAGCTTGCTACAAGCCTGGTGAGGAGATATCCTGTTGACAAGTTGTTGGAACAGCATTCTCACAACTTGTTAACAAGCTTGCTACAAGCCTGTTGAGAACATATCTTTGTTGAAAGGCTTTTGGAACAGCATTGTCGCAACTTGTTAACAAGCTTGCTACAAGCCTGTTGAAGAGATATCCTGTTGACAAGTTGTTGGAACAGCATTGTCACAACTTGATAACAAGCTTGCTACAAGCCTGTTGAGAACATATCTTTGTTGAAAGGCTTTTGGAACAGCATTGTCGCAACTTGTTAACAAGCTTGCTACAAGCCTGTTGAGGAGATATCCTGTTGACAAGTTGTTGGAACAGCATTGTCACAACTTGTTAACAAGCTTGCTACAAGGCTGTTGAGGATACATCTTGTTGACAAGTTGTTGGAACAGCATTGTCATAACTTGTTAACAAGCTTGCTACAAGCCTGTTGAGGATAAATCTTGTTGACAAGTTGTTGGAACAGCATTGTCACAACTTGTTAACAAGCTTGCTACAAGCCTGTTGAGGATAAATCTTGTTGACAAGTTGTTGGAACAGCATTGTCACAACTTGTTAACAAGCTTGCTACAAGCCTGTTGAGGATAAATCTTGTTGACAAGTTGTTGGAACAGCATTGTCATAACTTGTTAACAAGCTTGCTACAAGCCTGTTGAGGATAAATCTTGTTGACAAGTTGTTGGAACAGCATTGTCACAACTTGTTAACAAGCAGATGAACTGAACTTGATCTTGCAGATGAACTGAACTTTACTAAGGATACTAGCATTTCTGTATTTAAATCAGATCTGCTCAAGTATTACTTTACATCACTGAACATTAATTATGATCCTGAAAACTCTCGAACATTTAAGAGTATATGTCTGAAATGTAATTGTATTCGAAGCCTGTTACGTCCAATATCGTGTTGCAGTTGAACTGTAAATAAGATCACACCTGTAACGCATGTATGTATATATATATATATATATATATATGTGTAATGATAGTTTTGTGTCGGGCCCGCAGTAATTGGCTATTCGCAGTTGTGGTCACCCAGCCGTGGTCATGTACCTACTGTATTTCATTATGTACGTTTGTTTTTGTCCTGTCATGCAATGTACTGTTTCATCGGCAAAGTTTATAAATTAAATTAAATTAAGCTTGCTACAAACGTATTGCAGACACATCTTGTTGACAAGTTGTTGGAACAGCATTGTCACAACTTGTTAACAAGCTTGCTACAAACCTGTTGAGGATAAATCTTGTTGACAAGTTGTTGGAACAGCATTGTCATAACTTGTTAACAAGCTTGCTACAAGCCTGTTGAGGATAAATCTTGTTGACAAGTTGTTGGAACAGCATAGTCACAACTTGTTAACAAGCTGGCTACAAGCCTGTTGAGGAAATATCTTGTGGACAAGTTGTTGGAACACCATTGTCAAAACTTGTTAACAAGCTTGCTACAAGCTCGTTGAGGAAATATCTGGTTGACAAGTTGTTGGAACAGCATTGTCACAACTTGTTAACAAGCTTGCTACAAGCCTGTTGAGGATAAATCTTGTTGACAAGTTGTTGGAACAGCATTGTCATAACTTGTTAACAAGCTTGCTACAAGCCTGTTGAGGATAAATCTTGTTGAGAAGTTGTTGGAACAGCATTGTCACAACTTGTTAACAAGCTTGCTACAAGCCTGTTGAGGATAAATCTTGTTGAGAAGTTGTTGGAACAGCATTGTTACAACTTGTTAACAAGCTTGCTACAAGCCTGTTGGGGATAAATCTTGTTGACAAGTTTTTGGAACAGCATTGTCACAACTTGTTAACAAGCTTGCTACAAGCCTGTTGAGGATAAATCTTGTTGGCAAGTTGTTGGAACCGCATTGTCACAACTTGTTAACAAGCTTGCTACAAGCCTGTTGAGGATAAATCTTGTTGACAAGTTGTTGGAACAGCATTGTCACAACTTGTTAACAAGCTTGCTACAAGCCTGTTGAGGATAAATCTTGTTGACAAGTTGTTGGAACAGCATTGTTACAACTTGCTAACAAGTTTGCTACAAGCCTGTTGAGGATAAATCTTGTTGGCAAGTTGTTGGAACAGCATTGTCACAACTTGTTAACAAGCTTGCTACAAGCCTGTTGAGGATAAATCGTGTTGGTAAGTTGTTGGAACAGCATTGTCACAACTTGTTAACAAGCTTGCTACAAGCCTGTTGAGGATAAATCTTATTAGCAAGTTGTTGGAACAGCATTGTCACAACTTGTTAACAAGCTTGCTACAAGCCTGTTCAGGATAAATCTTGTTGACAAGTTGTTGGAACAGCATTGTTACAACTTGTTAACAAGCTTGCTACAAGCCTGTTGAGGATAAATCTTGTTGGTAAGTTGTTGGAACAGCATTGTCACAACTTGTTAACAAGCTTGCTACAAACCCGTTGAGAAAAATCTTGTTGACAAGTTGTTGGAACAGCATTGTCACAACTTATTAACAAGCTTGCTACAAAGCCGTTGGGAATAATCTTATTGAAAAGTTGTTGGAACAGCATTGTCACAACTTGTTAACAAGCTTGCTACAAGCCTGTTGCAAAAAATCTTGTTGAGAAGTTGTTGGAACAGCATTGTCACAAGTTGTTAACAAGCTTGCTACAAGCCTGTTGCGAAAAATCTTGTTGAGAAGTTGTTGGAACAGCATTGTCACAACTTGTTAACAAGCTTGCTACAAGCCTGTTGCGAAATATCTTGTTGAGAAGTTGTTGGAACAGCATTCTCACAACTTGTTAACAAGCTTGCTACAAGCCTGTTGAGGATAAATCTTGTTGGTAAGTTGTTGGAACAGCATTGTCACAACTTGTTAACAAGCTTGCTACAAGCCTGTTGAGGATAAATCTTATTAGCAAGTTGTTGGAACAGCATTGTCACAACTTGTTAACAAGCTTGCTACAAGCCTGTTCAGGATAAATCTTGTTGACAAGTTGTTGGAACAGCATTGTCACAACTTGTTAACAAGCTTGCTACAAGCCTGTTGAGGATAAATCTTGTTGGTAAGTTGTTGGAACAGCATTGTCACAACTTGTTAACAAGCTTGCTACAAGCCAGTTGAGGATAAATCTTATTAGCAAGTTGTTGGAACAGCATTGTCACAACTTATTAACAAGCTTGCTACAAGCCTGTTGAGGATAAATCTTGTTGACAAGTTGTTGGAACAGCATTGTCACAACTTGTTAACAAGCTTGCTACAAGCCTGTTGAGGATAAATCTTGTTGACAAGTTGTTG